CACCTTTCTGTGATGAACCAGCTTTGTTACAGCTAAACTTAAACCATTCTAAGTAACGTTTTAAGAAAGAAGCACAGTCAGTAAAAATGATGTTACAGAACCGTGCATTTAATTCCAAGATTTTTAATTTCACAAACATGAGATGAATTGCTTATTCTTAGCTTAAAAATAGCAGAAGGAAGTGACACCCTATTACAAAGGTTATGAAAATCAGAACAATATAGAACAAAATGTGTTAGTAGACAGAATTTAATACAAAACTCTAGTATATGTGCATATATATCAATCACAATCATCTTTCTTCTCTCTTTCTCTCTCTCTAAATTATAGTATACACAATCATTTTTCTTCTCTAAATAAAAATTATGCAAATTATTCCCCCACATTCTAATAACTAAAAATGCAAAGAATAAAAATGAAGATGATGACAAACAAACAAACAAACAAACAAACAAAACAAAAAAATAACCTGAAATAAACGAACACATTGGATCCATTTAAACTTAAAGAGCAGTGATTCCCACTTTGTTTATACCTATAAATATATCGACACCATAAGCACGGAACAGAAACTTATGTTCAAACGTGAAGGTCAAAAGCCACATGACTTAACTGATTTGAAAACTTTACCATTTAGCACCATCTACTGGCATTTAAAAATTCAAATAAATCGTTCTGTTTTTAAGTTACGTATACGTGACGCTGAGCTCCATCTCTATGATGTGAAGAGTAGAAAATTAAGGTTATGTTATCACTAGTCAAGACTCCTACATAATTCTTTACGGCACTATTGGCAAAAAGACCTCTTAGATCGCTCCATTTCACCGCCAGTCTTCTAGACACAACATCTCATCAAAATTATAATAATCATTCAGTTTTATCCAACGGTTTCAAAAAATAATGGTTTAGAACATTTATAGAAAGTAAAACATTTACAAAGATTTGTTCTGAAAAATCAAAGATAATACAGACAATGACGAATGTTTTGGATCATGGGTAACTTGCCTTGATAATCCAGTGTTAAGCTGCACTACAAGAAAAATATAACTTCCAGTTCAAATGGGCAGATGACATTTGATAAGATGTTAATACATTAAATAGAGTTTGAACTGATTGTAGAGGGGAAGTTCCAGAAAAAGCAAATACATTTACACAAAATGTTCTTTCATAAATCCACCTGGAATCGTATATATTAAATTAAATATTTTGCAGTTACAAACTTTTTCAATGATTCTAATACTATAATTTAATTAAATTTGCTACTTTAAGAAAAGATAATTAAAGCACTAGAAAGAAAAACTAATTTTCTACTCCATATTAGTATCTAAGATTTAAATCTACTTTTCCAATTAATTAATTCAAGGTGATATCATAGCTACCTTAAATCAAACTTTTTAATTATTAGATCTTTTAACAGCAAGAACAGTGTGCTGATGACATTTAAATCTTAAAAAAGAGTAATAAATTACTAAATATGTACTTTTTAATTTAACTTTATATGTTTATAATGTAAGATAAAAGGGAGGAAAAATGTAAGTTAAAGGTCATCATATAGAATTACTAATTACATTCGTAATGCAAGTCATGATCCTAAAAAGTGAACTGCGAATGTAAAAAGAAATCTATACAAGTATACATACACATGCACAAACATACATGCAAAATAGATAAATAAAAAATATATTTTTTATTACTTTCTTTAATTAAACAGCCAAACTCGTTGATCATTTTGGCATCTCACCACTGAAAGCTTTGCCCAGGGTGCACCTCAAAGGATAGACCGATTTTGCATCTACAAGAGGTGGAGAAGGACCCAAAAAACACCCAAGTCTAATGTGGGATTCAAGACAGCACATTTGATTTCAGACTAGCAGTTAGTCTCTTGAGTAACCACTACGATTTCTAAAATTTTTTCGATTACCGCTTAAAAGCAATGGAAAAAGTTAGAAGTTCTCTAAAATAATTTAGATTTTACAGATGATTAATAAATATGCGCATTCAGCTAAAATTTAGAAGATGAAGTATGCACAGGTATATCGAAAGAAATTTTACTGTACAAGATGCAGATGTGTATTTGTTTTAAATTTAAAAATGTTATTCTTGATTAGAAAAAGATATTCCTTGTCCGCTACGAGGAATGACGGATTGGAAATATGATACCCATTTTCAGTTTTTTCAGCTTCAGGCCTCCTGGAAGTGGCAATAAAGACTGTGCCATTTCAAACTTTTTCTTTTCTTCTTGTAGGTTTTCATATAAAAAATCGTGCTATTTTAGGCTACCTTTCTATTTCCCCCCTTTCATATAGTTGGCAGGAGACCTTGTTCGAAGAAAGAGATTGCCTACCTGATAACCTTGTGTTTGGTGTAGATTTAATCAAGACACTGTCAATTTTCAGGGTGAATAGGTACAAATCCTTCTTCATCAGGAAAAAAGAAATCTGCAATGAAGGGAAAGCCACAGTTGTATTTATACCCAAAATAAGTAAAGCAAAACATATCTATAGCATATCTTGTCGGTGTCCGAGATGTATTGGCCAAACTAAAACAGCATTAACATTCCACATCAAAGAACACAAATCCTATGTCTGAAAAGGTGAAATTAACAAGTCTTCAATAGTTAATCATATTGGCAATTTAATCATAATTCTGATTTGAATTTGTAAAAATATCCAAAAAGCTTCTTGGATTTTCTTGAAGCTTTTCACATTCACAAAGATTTGTCTTGTTTACTTAACGGCTTTAACTCCTATCCAGTCCTACATAATGCTTTTAAAATTCTAATAACTTATTTTTTTCAATTTTCATTACTATTTCTGGTTCTTTTTAATGACGAATGGTGCTATCTTCTCACATGCTTTACTCCTTTTGGAAATAAATATAAACATGGCTTTCCCTTCATTGCAGATTTCTTTGCTTCTAATGTAGAGGGTCTTGTACCTGTTTGAGCTCCAAATCGTCTTGACTAAATCTATGCCAAACACAAGTTTGTTGCTTTGCCTGATTTTATAAATTGCTCTCTGGAAATTTCATTTAAATTTTGAAATCATTAAAAAAAAGTGAGGAGTTGAGGGGGTAAGGGGAATTTTACATGAAAAGAATAACATAACACAATACTAAACAAAATAAAGAGATTTAATAACCCTACAGGCTATGATATGGTTTAAAGGTATGTACGCGAATGTATAGGTATTACGCATTGTTTGCACTGCAAAGTTGTTTCACTTCTACAGTTATGGTTGAAACGCCCGACACCACTTTATTAGATGTTTTTTTATGAGTAAGGAATATATGTTCAGGAAAATGAATCCAGTTTTTTTTGCTTGCAGTTGAACCATGAACTCAAAATGCATAGGGCTGCCACTTGAGAGATAATTACGTAAAGTTAAATTTGATATCAGATTTTCTCCGATGTTCATAAGAAAGTTACGATGCTTATAAAACATAAACAATTATTAATAGTCATATCTGTCATAAAAAATAATTATTATATCTTTTTACGCATTTTCGTTCAACTGGAAAACACATTTAAATTGTTACACACCACCCATTCCACAATTATAAGCACACACTTATGATAACTTTTCTTCATGAACTATTTCCCTCCATTCAGATTAGCTTTGCTAATTTTTATCTTAAAATCTAAATCCACAGCATGACCCATCCTCTTTACTGTGGTATAATTTTCATCCATATTACTTCACTTACAAGACATTACAATGAGATATAAAATCTGCAGATATAATATTACAATGAGATATAAAATTGCTATTTAAATTATACATATTTAAATCTTAATTTTTAGCCATTATAAAACCAAGTTATTGTAAGTCAGCAATTTCCTCATCGTATCATGAGAATATGAATCAAAATAAAAACTGAAAATTAGTCACAGTGTTAACATTTCACATAAAATATCAGTTGGCACTGTCCCGTGTAAAAATGTTGATTTTCCAGAATATTTAAATTTTAATTACAGACTCAAAACAAATGCATGGTTCCTCCTAATATTTCAGAAAATTTTATTTAAAATTATTTTGCATCAAAGATCTTTCATCCATCAGGGTTTAGCAGCTGGTGGTTGGCTTGCATGTTGCCTTTTTGTGTAACTGCATTCATTACCTGAAGACAAAAACTTTTACTAGCCATGAGTTTTTAAGAGTTTCAAAGCATTTTGTGTGGAGCACTTGCTTTCTATGGTACAATTTGCAGAATGAATCAGTAATGCCTCTTTAATTTCCAGGTGAATTTGGAGCTTTCTGAACTTGCTTATGTATCAGATGAATTTTACCCCTAAAATTGTCATGAGACAGACATTTTACATGCCTCTGAAATCCTCCAACACTGGTTGCAGAGTTACAACTTCTGTTTGTAACGTTAAATGCAGACATTATTGAGTAGTAGTCAGAGTATGTTGTTTCCCACTTCTTAGTGGTCTGAAGTTTGATATCAGCATTTAGATTACAACATGTAAGGCAAATATACATGATTTTCCTTATCTTTGTGAACATTTTAAGGCTCTGCAGTACGATTACTTACAGTGTTTGACATGTACACATCAATGCTTTAAATAAAAATGAACTTTTAGCTTAATCATTTAAGACTTCATGGCATGGGCCTGCAGGACCAAGATCAGGGATAGACACTATCAGAGCAGCAATGAACATCAGGTTTTGTTGATGCCATCTATTGACAAGCACTGCCATTAATAACTTGAAAAACAGCATTTATCAACAACAGGTCTTTTACTACAAAAAATAAATAAATAAAATGGTGGCACTAGCAACCAGGTCACATGGTAAAAATCATGACCTTCTAGGATATATCAAGTATATCTATAAGGTTGCAATTGCAAGTATGCTGATAGATACAGAAGCTTCACAGAAGCTAAAATTCTTCACACAGCAGCAACAGAGTTAAAAAACAGAAAACACAGTTGAGTTGTTCCAAAGATTTATAAAATACATTTCAGGATAATAAAATGAAATGAAATTCAAATTTACTTCTTTTAATATTTCCATGCAATCTTCATTGGCTTCTCTACAGTGAATAACAAGAGGTAGCCCTTCCTTCTTAGCAATCTTTAACTGTCGTCTAAGTACACTTTTTTGTACTTCCTGTAAACAATTATTCCTAGAACAGATCAGATACACTTATTAGATAAAAACTTATCAGAATAAAATAGATTTCAGCTTTCAAACTTTAAAGAATTTTATGATTGGAAATTTTTTTTTTTTTTATTTATTTATTTATTTATTTTTTTTTTTGTTAGTTTGCTTTCAAATGAATCAAAATACATTAATCTGATAATATTTCTACAGTTGAATTAAAATATGCAATCTGAATCTTTCCATTACACATAGACTTTCTGTGAACACTATTAAAATTTATGTGTGCATTGAAAAAGAAAATCATGCAAAATGTGGAGATGAATAACTTTTTGTTGCACTAGGCCTGAAAACATCTCTCATAAAGACTTAGCCATAATCAATAAGGACATTAATATTCAAACAACTTTGATATTATTTCTCAGTATTAGAATTTTCTGTCAAAAATGCTTCTTATGTTTACTATTCATGATCTACAATAAACATGCAAGAAATCTTGGCTGGAATGTGCAGCTTTAAAGACATATTTATCTTATGTTTATGAATGACTTCTAAAAAATCATCAATTTTTATTAGATCTCTGCTCTGTGTATCTCCAAACTTTTGGCAACTTTTTGAAAGTCTATCATGAGGAGCTTCTTTAACTGTTAAGAGATAGCCAGGAAAAATAATTTTCTAATTTGTAGTTCCATAATTGTCCCTTCTTTACTTATACCAGAAAATTATTTTCTCAAATATGTGAATTCTAGCTATTTGTATACATTGCATAAGACCTAGCTTGATGTGCAGCAGGGAAGAAGGTATACATTTTCAAGATCTATAAGAGCTCCTTTAATGGCACTAATCTTCCTTGGAATATATAATGCTAATTTTTTCAGAGCTAATGTTTTTTCTGCATTTATTGTTTTATTGCCACAGGAAAAACAATAATTTGTGCAGTCCTGTTAAATTTAAGGAAATAACTATTTATTTTAAACCTCTTCATAGTTCATTCAAATAGCTGCCAGCCTTGAAATATAAAAAATAAGGAGTTTCTATGAAGTTCTCATGTTGAGTGGCAATCCAAGAACTTCAAATTCACCAGTATTGACTTTGTAAGGCATGACTCAGGCTGTTGAACTTACATTTATGATGAGATTCTGATGTAAATTATATTAACATTTAATGAAATTCTGAATTTTACATTCTTTGGCTAATTTTGTTTTATAAATTTCTTATATTTTTTACACAGCACCATTCATTAATGTAAAATAAAATTAAATACCAGTATTAATTGATAAGATTAGTTGAATCTTCGGTACTTTTCCATTATGCACCCATGAAAGAGAAGCTAAGCAGGTGCCAAGAACCAATGATACTGCTATCTGGGGACCAAACCATTTGTCTATTCACACACAAATATATGACAGGTATGTAAAAGAAAAGTACTGAATCCTCTTAAAAATAATGTTATAGCATAGCACAAATGTCTATAACAGATTATAATAATTGAGATAAAAACAAATTTAATAAGAAATATTATGCTGAAAATCATTTTGCATACTTTAAATTTCCTAGTTTAATAAATTCCATTTATTACTGGGAAACATTTTCCTTAGTAAAAATAAAGAATTAAAAACCAGGAGACTTGTCAGATATGCACTTATATTTTTTATGAAGAATCATCGTAGAAAGATTTTTCTATTTAAGTTTCTTCTAAATTTACAAAGAACTGATAAGAACTTCTAAGATTTAGAAATTCAGCTTAGTTTATGAATACTTTATTATTCCGTGACAAAACCTTTGCTGGTAATAAATACTTTTAATTAAACAATGCAGTTATCATTTTTATAGAACAAACATTCTTTTTTTTTTAAAAAAAAAGGGGGGAGAGAGATTTATGTAACATTATACCTGTTAGAATAATCCAATCCAATCTCACCCAATGCACGGACTTTATGATGCTGCAAAGCTTCACACAGTGTTCTTTCTACTTCATCATTGTAATTTTTTGAGTTATGAGGATGGCAACCAAATGTCCCCCAGACCTTTTCTTCCTCCAGATATTTTTGCCACATCGATTTCTGAAATAAAATGTATTAATAGCTTAAATCATCAACCTTTGCTCAATATTTAAATGTTCGTACTATAGCAATTATATTGGTGGTAATGAAGATGAGAGTGAGAGGTAGGGGAGGGAAAAAAAAAAAACACCTTTGGAAATGTAAACGGGTTACAAAATACTGCAATGCATCCTTGATAACATTCAGGAAATGTACTTTCAAGCTGTTTCTTATAATCTGAAAATGTCCCTTCAAAGTTTAGTCTTTGAAAAAGGAAGTCAAGATGACAATGAGCATCAATAAATCCTGAATCAGATTTAAAAGACATAAGGTTCTGGAGACTGTAACTAGGCAAGATACCCTTAAACCTTTTAGTCCAGTTTTCAGTTGAAATATCTGGAGTTTGATCAGCAGCACAGCTTCTTCTATAATCATTTGATGAATGACTTTTACTTTCAATAGGAAAGCTTCTTCTTCCAACTTGCTTATCAAGTTTAAACTGGTTTGATCGTGGAGAAGGAGACCTAAAATAAAAGAAACAATTTTTTTTTAAATGATCTTCAAGGAAATGAATTGCAAAAAGTTATTTTGATTTAAACTTTCAATGTTTAACAAGTATTATAGAAAATTATTTTTATTTAAAACATCTGCTTTTATGTTAATATTAATTGTAAATAAGAAATCAAAAGTTTTATTAGATTTCATTTATAATAAACAATAACAGCCATATTTTTCCCAATAAAATCTTTTTATCGCTTTTTTTTTTTTTTTTTTGCAAGTTACATATTTGTTTCAGTATTTAAACAGTGACATTAGAAAGAGAAAATGCATTGGGTGAAGAAGTAATAAGCCATTTAACATAAATTTTCTTTCATTTATATTTCTAACATTCACCTAAATGATGAATAACAAAATGTAAATGATATAATTTCATTATATAAAGTCCGAGACCTGGATTTAACAGGACTCCAGCAGTTTCGGATTCGGTATTTTTCATATATTAGATCATCAGTTTAGTACGATGACATGTACAAATTATAAAATGAAAAATATGAAATAGTGATATGTGAAATAATTTATGGCCTTAAGATTATAAAATAAATTATAAATAAAAATATTTAATGCTTATTTACTTACTAAATATTTCTTTCAATTTAAGTTGTTTAATTTTTTTCATTTCTGGTGATAGTACTTTATAGACAGACATATTGTTCAGTTGTAAATTCCCATTGTTCAAGTTCTGTAATTGCCTGTAAATTGTTGAGAATTTTGCAGCTCCCCAGAATTCTCAATAAATTAATTGAATTTTTTTTCTTTTCAACAACCCCTCAACCACTTTCTCTACTATCAGAAGCAATATTTTCTGGATTTAGAACCATACTTCAGACATCGCTATCCATTAGTTGATTGATCACTGGGCATTGTCATCGAAATGAAAAACTTCTGTTATAACATCTTTACTTATTACCCTTTCTCCCCCTACCTTCAAAAATTATATTAACTGGAAAATTGTGCTTTTTGTTTGTAATATCTGAATATGAATAAACTTATGACAATCATCCTATAGCTAGTATCCATTATATACCATTGGTGATGTGTCATGAGACTGGCAACTAAAGGCATGCTGTTACACCAAATTTTGCCTTACTTTTATTGCATGCTAACAAAGTTAAGGCAGAATTATATTAGTTATTTTTTATATTTATGTACATGCTTAAAGCTTAGCTGATATAACAGAAACTATGCAATTATTCATTGCTGGCTTGGCACATTATTAGCATGCGCAGTGGGCGTCATATAGACTTTAAAACTGGATACTGATCTTTGAATATGAGTTCTATCTGCTGAGGGAGCTACTGTAATGTCTAAATATTAAGTATTCTTTATCCTACTGCTTTTGTTTCCATCAGCAATTCAGCAATGTAAAGAAGGTAGCTCTTCATCCCTCATAAAGAATAGTTGCTTACTCACGAGTTGTTTAATTGGGGTCAAATAACACGAAATATATTTAATATAGCTAAGTACTATATAAATAAACTCCCACATATACTGAAAGCTTACCCACAGCTACTGCTAGACATTTTACAGTCAGTCCAAAGTAGTCTTTGCAAGTCTAAAATTTTGCTGCTAAGTGCCTCCCTAAATTCTAAAAATTTTGTGGCCCAGTGCCTTTCTTAAATTCTAAAGATTTTGCCTCCCTTAAATTTAGCTGCCTGCAGTGGCCACACCAGCTCTGGCACTGATACTGGGCTTATCTGAATAAAGAATCAGTTAATCTTGATTCAAATAGCACTAAATGTAACCTTTACGTTTTACAGCAAAATTAGCTAAAGTCTAATCATCAGCAAGAGCAATGTCAATATAAAGTCTACCATGCTGTTTGGTATTCAATTACGAATTACTAATATTAAACAAAATTTGTTTAGATGTCATTGCATTAGTCATTTCTCAAGCTGCACTGAACTAAGTGGCATACAGTAATGACAGCAAATAATAATAAATAAATTTGAAAGCTTTCGGATTTTATATTACGCCACTGACATGAAAAGACATTTAAAGCAGCATACAGATAGATTGATTTTAGCTTTTTGTGTGCCACCTTTATTTATTAAATATCATGTTCTCTGCACTTAAATCATAAAATAATTTTAAAATGAGCATATCTTTATAATTTCCGATACACAGTCTTGTATGCTGGAGATAAAAATAATCCCCCCCCTCCGTACAGTTTTGCCATTGCTCGCTTTGAAATCGTTGAGTTATTAATCAAAAATTCATTAAAGTGTTACAAAACATGAAATCGATAATATAACAAATTTCAAATTAGGGATTCCAGATACCTATATTCGATGGAAGATTACGTATTCAAAACTTCATGGTTGTAGGTACCGTTGTTTTATCACACTGTGAGAAACATATATACATTTATGCAGATTCTTCATTTTTTAATTTCTTTAAATATAACACAGAGTGATAATATTTGGCAGCAACAATTTGAAAAGCAAATCAACATTTATAGCGAATTAATTCAAAATGCCAAAATGAAATTAATAGCCCTTCTGGGCTAATAAAAAAAGATGTTGCTGGTGATCCAGAGATCTGAATTTTGAATATTGTATATATAAAACACAATGCATTACCTTACATCATTATTTTATCAAACTTGAAGCTATCCAGATAAAGGTGAGAAAGTAACACAAACACACAAAGAATTTCGTTTTCTAGTGTTTGTAATTTTATCATCTTTCCAAATTTTGAAATTTTATTATTCCAAAATGTAGATTTTCGACACAACATTAATGCAATAACGATTGCATTATGAATAACCATAGCACTGGAGACAGACGATAAATGGGAAATTAATACTTCACAAATTAGTAAAAACGGGTGTCTTTAATGAAAAATTTATTATATATTAACACATTTTACAAGGTTATTAAGCAATATAAATTTAAAAACACATGGATAGGAAAAATGTGACCTTAAAGAAAGTAATCAAATATCCCAGATCGTTTTCATTTATTTAATTACGACAAAGCATGTGAGCACTATCTGCCTAAGAGAGGGATGCCTTGAAGACTTTCTAAGGGAAACTAGTTTGTATACAAGTTACACATAGGGAAAACCATGAAAACACCTATGCAGTCAGCCTGTTCACCTGGAATCGAACCCAGGTCAGAAATATCAGTGTTCAGCGACTTTACTATTTGGCTGTTGGTGAGCCCATCTCAGAATGAGCAGGTAGTTAGTGCAACATCCTGCTTTAGGCTATGTTTTAGATTTTTCAAAATTGAACTTGGATTTTGTTGGTACTGTCTCAGCAAAAATGTTATTCAGAATATAACGACGAAGATATTTTTGTAAAACTAAGTCCCGTAATCTAATAATTATACATTCTTAAGATGTATTATTTAGGAATTCGAGGATCCAACAAAAAGAATTGTTTAAGAAAGAAAATTTGATTTCTTTTCTTTTTTAAGAAATGAACAATGAAATATTCATCTACGGAATTTCAAATACAGCATTTTGAAAAAACACTACAGAATGAAATAAAAATAGCAAAGGAAAGCTTAAATATTACCAGGAAATATTTTGAATAAGGACAGTTACCTAGTAACTATTTACTCAGTAAAATATTATATTTACAGATTTTATATTAAAATATTTATAAAAACCTTGCCGCCCACCTACACCACATAGGCATTTCAAAGCTCTGATGTGGATCTATTGTCTGTAACTTCTTGTCAACGGAAGATTACGTATTCAAAACTTTATGGTTGTAGGTACCGTTGTTTTATCACAATGTGAGAAACATACATACACTTCTGCAGATTCTTCATTTTTTAATTTCTTTAAATATAATACAGAGTGATAATATTTGGCAGCAACAATTTGAAAAGCAGTTTTTGGAAAAAGGGCAAAATTTGTTTATATTGTTATTTACTTTATAATCTGTGAAAAGTCCAAAATTTTGTAATCGATAGATTTTTAGATGTTGAAATTTTAAAATCAGAAACACAAATAGTTGAAAAAAGGAGAGAATTTTGAGAATTCACCAAAAAATCAGAAATGATTTTCAAAATGCTACATAAATTTTACCTAAATAACATTTTTTTCACTCTATCCAATCATGCAAACAGTAAATTTCTGAGATTTTTAATACGTTCATTAAATAACGATACAAGGGAAAAACTGTTTAAACATTAAATTTAAAAAACTTAAATCGAATTTTGAAAAAAAAAAATTGCTTTACAATACATTATATCAACAAAGAGTATATGCACAAATTTTGAACTTGATAGCTTATTAGGAAGTAAATTAAGAATCAATGACAAACTTTTGACCATAGTAACAAACACCATGAGCAAACTCATGAAAAGCTTATAGAAAGGAAACTACTTGCAGCATGGATTGACTTGTGTGGAGAGTCTACTGTCAAAATTTTGTATGATTCTTGCAAAAGATGTATAGGGTGGTTCTAAACTGTTTTTACAAATTAAGAGGGGTAACAGACCCTATGTTTTATGGTAATTATTGCTCCTCTGGATGGGTACTATCACCCCTCTTAATTTGTAAAAACAATTTAGAATCACCTTGTATAATCAAATGTAAATATTTAAATGTTTATTTCAGAAATGTTAAACAACCAAAATTTCCAAAGCATATTATTAGTTGCCTATTAGTACTCTCCCCACTCAAAATATCTCCTCAGCACCCACCACTGAACAATGACACTCAGGTTGAGAAACAATAATCTAACCAGAGAGGGAAAAATGAGATCATAAGTGATCATAAAAATTTCTGCAATTAAAGGCCACTGTGAAAAAAGTTATATGCCTCCATACCTCAATACTTTTAAATATAAAAGAACTGTGTTAGCTTTCCTTTAGCAAGTTAACAATTTCAATTACATAACTAAACACATAAAATGAAAAAAAGACTCACTTAATATAAAAAGAACTATCTTTTAGATCAATTCTTTCTCCTTGAAAGCTTTTACATACAGAATCACTATCATCATCAATTGAAGAAAATGACCGTTTAAGTTCCGGACTATATTTATTATCATACTTCCATTGGACCGCACTAGAAACCTTTGGTGATATACTAGAAGTTCTACTTTTCAGGTCAATTCTCTTTTTTTCAAGTCTTTCAAGTGGAGAATTTGGACTTTTATCAGATTCAGAAGATGACCATGAACTATGTTTGTTTCTATATTCCCACTGGGATGATGAAACAGGAGTCCTGATATAAGATGATTTATTTTTTAATCCAATTTTTTCTACTGCAAATCTTTTAGGTGTAGAATTTACATCCTTATCAACTGCTGAAGACGATCGTTTAAGAAGTGGACTATATTTATTTTCATACTCCCAATGGGATACACTTGATGTCTTAGGCGTCAAAATTGCAGATGAAGATGCAGAAAATTTAGACTCTGAAATAAAAATATATTTTATTGCAAAACTAAATTTAATTTCTTTTTTAAATAATATTCAGTTGTTATTTTATTTACAAAGAGCACAAGGAATACTAATGATTATAAAATACTAAATGCAATAGTTTAGAAAAAGTCCTTCAGGTTCATTTAAGTATAAAATTAACAGGCATCATACAAATACAAGGTGTCCACAAATGTTTACCCTGATTAAATAACATAACTCATGAATGTGCACAGATAATGCCTTGGTAGCAAGCAAAAGATCCAATGAATACTCAGTTTTATGCCATACACTTCTCCTTCTCCACTAGATTACTCTCTTTGGGAAAATATGCTGAAGACATTGCATAAGACACAACAGTTTGTGATGTTGTAACTTTGTGACAACACATCACAGACACTTTTCAGACAGTGACACCAGAAATGTTGAAAATATGTGGCATGAAACTGAGTACTCACTGAATATTTTGTATGCTATCAGGAGTGCATATGTGAAAGTTTATTAAATGTTTTCAATATGATTATAAATTTTGGCAATTTATGCATTTGAGGTTCAATGCACCTGTGAACAAGTCTTGAGTTAGGTTTTGTAATCAGGATAAACTTTTGAGGATACTTCTTACTTTATTTACCAGTTTTTAATTAATTTTAATTTCTGTATGCATAATCAGAATTTTTAATAAATAAGAATTTAATTATTTACTTGATTTACTGAATTTTCCTCCCTAAAATAATTCTGATGGAAAATTCTCAATTTAATGAAGAGTTTGTTCTTTTTTTGAAGTTTTGCCTAAACTGCAAACAAATTTAATACTAATATTTAAACAACATATGTGTCCACATGCAGATAGGAATTATCCTTCAAACAATGGGAAAGAAGAGTTGTTTCTTTCTTACCATTTTATACTAGTGAACTACAGCTTCCAGCTATGTGAAAAATTATTAAAAATGCAGTGTCGAAAATGATTACTCAGATGAATAATGAATGACTTGTAATAACAATCTCAAACTCAGACATTTAAACTCGATGTTTCAATGCTTTGAATTTTGACAAAATCATGGAATGAAATGATATAAAACAAATATCCGTAACTGATTTATAAATGCTGGATTTACATGGTGCAGTTGAATTCAATTATTTACACATTATAAAGATAAAACATTTAATACACATAAAACTTCTTAATATGACAACGTTCATTTCACTGAAAAAAGTGGTTAGAGTTCCATCATTTTACTGAGCTGTAAACAGCTAAATTAGATAGCATGAAAAAAAATCTGATCTGTACACCACATGACTTCCTTGTACGGAATATTAAATTATACACATTTTTTCTTGCATTTCATTTAAACTTATTGGATTGAATTAAATCTACTTCGCAGACAGCACATAAACCACAATAGAATAAATGTGTTCTTTAAAATTCACTCTATTTGCTTACCATAGCGACACTCTGGCGCTAGGTTCACTTAACAGTATTATATTTCGTTCATATTATAACTCAGAATGCACAAAATTTATATCATTTAAAGAATTATCTAATCATTGCCACATGTTCTATTAAAATACTATAATAAAGCTAGAACGATGTATAAAAGAAATTAAGCAAGAAAAAAAAAAAAAAAAGGAAACAGTTTTTCACAGACAATTGAGTATTTCTCTTTCAATTAATTCAGCTCTCACTTTGCGACAAGGCAAAAATACATAAAAACTAAAAATATCTGTATTAAAAATTACGAAATAAATCTTAAACACTTATTTCCTCGAAAAAATTCCAGAAAGGATTAAGCATGATTTAATTTGCAATAATAAATAAAGGCATTATCTTTGTTGTTGCGAAGCTAAGTTTCTCTGGATTGGCAACAAATCCACTACTCTGCTGTTTCAAATGTAAAAAAGCAATGGCTGCCATAAAAAAAAAATTGCTAGGCTTAGCAGCACTTAAACAACTTTAAAATTGTTGATAATTTTAAAAATATTGCATACAGATTTACTAAAGGCATAAAAACCTCAACCGGAAGATAAGAACAACATAATTCAATCATTTTTAAAGCAAAAAATGTACAATTTACAAACATATAAAAGTAAAGAAAAACTGAGATCACTGAGCCGGGCAACAGAATGGATATATATATAAATACATTTACATCCGTTTGGCGCACCCGATTGCAACCAAAATACGAGGTGTTTATCTACATGTTATAGTAGTCTTATAATCAAAATTTCAATGTTCTGAGGCTGCTCGTTTTTTAGTTATGCAAGATACATACGTACATACATACGTTCGTACAGACGCCACAAAAAATTCTCTTCAGAATTCATTTTAAAGCAGTTTTATAATTTTTTTGGAGGAAAAGAGTCTTTTATTCTGTCCTTACGTACAGATATCACGCAAATACATCGTTAAATTGCATTTGAAAGCGGTCAAAATGGATATTTTCGTTGAAATATATTGCCTGAAACTTTTCGCAATTACAATACTTCCTTTTTACTTTGTACAAGGAAGTAAAAATGTAAGGTGTTTAAGTTGCTTTGTTTATTGCGCTAATACTTTCTCTTTACTGCTAAAGACAGATAATTTCTTGTTCAGTGTCAAAGTTCCATTGTTCAAGTCCTGTAATTGCTATGTCGAGAATTCCGACTAGCTCGTCAAACGAAATTTTTTCGTTTTCAATAACATCTCCATCACTTTCTTCACTATCAATAGCAATATTTCCTGAATCTAGAATCATAATACAGATTTTGCTGTCTGTTGATTGATTGATGAATGGAGCACTGTCATCACAATGAAAAACTTCTGTTATATTATCTCTGTTTATTACCGCTTCTCCACATTTCTTTACAAAATACATTTATTGGAAACTTTCACCTTTCGTTAGCGATATCCGAAAACCTTCAAATTAATGGCTATCATCTTCATTATCCTCACCGTGAAATATGGTACCTGGTCATAAATAATGCCATGCATTTTTTAAAGTATCTGAAGACATATCCTCCTATGATCTTGGGATGCTTCACAAAGTAGATTTTATGCTAAAATATTTCTTAAATTCTTGAATAGTCTTGCCATTATTTAAGAAATTTAACATGGACTTTAAAAATGCTACTTCATATTTGTAATTAAGCGTGCACACTATTCCGATATCTGTAGTCTGAATGATTGATGTACAATTTGGAGGACTGAATAATAGAGATAGATTACCTTTCACGAAAACTTTGTGAAGTATGAGCCATACACTTGTTTACAATCAGGACAGTTTTTGAATCATCAGTTAAACCAAATGAATTCAAATGTTGCCAGGCGTCTGATATGAAATGATTTTCAAACCAATCATTCTTTAACGCTTGTGTCACCCATGCTCTTTTATTTACAGAATATATAATGGGGAAAATTTTTACTTCTTTAAATGCTCGAGGTCCAATTACGGAAAAATCAAACCAAATGAATTCAAATGTTGCCAGGCGTCTGATATGAAATGATTTTCAAACCAATCATTCTTTAACACTTGTGTCACCCATGCTCTTTTATTTACAGAATATATAATGGGGAAAATTTTTACTTCTTTAAATGCTCGAGGTCCAATTACGGAAAGTTTATACTTGTGCATTGCGTTCCTGCAGCATTTGTGCTAGTTAGTCTCGCTTTGGAATCTTTGATACCAATTGGATCCTTTTCTGTAGAGGTTGCAAAGGTATATATTACCAGAAAAGACCAGTTGTAAATTTGTTCTGGGAATAACTTTTCACTATTACTGAGTTCAATGAATTCATCTGCAAATAGTTGAGCAGGTTCAGTATCAGCTGAAGCTTTTTCACCTGAAATTTTTAACTGCCTTATACCAGGCAATTTTGAAATTCATTTCTTCATGAAATATTTTGGCTTGAGGCATTAGCAGAGGACCTGTCTATAGCATGCCCTCACTGTGATGCTGTCTGACCCATTCAATCATCACTCTGAGCATAACCAATAATTTTTCTGTTATTCATTGTGAGGGTGGTGTCGGAATCCACAAAAAAATTTTAAAAAGTTCCTTTTACTGTTTTCTTATGTCATATACAGTTGTCTTTCCGATGCCATAGCCCTAGCATAATTTTAAGATGGATATTCCTTTATCCATTTTCTTTGCACCAATTCCACTTTCTGTTTAATGGACATCAAAACATGCTTTTGCTTTGTAGATCTTGTTGCAGCTCCATAATTAGAAAATCTTTTCGATATAACTGAAAGTTCAAACTTTAATTTTCATAAAATTGCTGTAATAACAGACTGGAAGAAATATTATCCTGGATCAAATCAGAAAGTTAAGTAACAGCACAATCTGCTATATAACTGAAATTGCTTTGAATCAGTGAAGTATAATTTTAGCCTAGCTTAACAGAGTCTGCTATATATTATCAGCTATGTATCATGAGACTGTCGATGAAAGACAAGTTGTTCCGCTAAATTTTGTCTTGCTTCTATCATACACTGAGACTGTAATAACAGCCTGCAAGTAATAATAAGCTGGATCAAATCAGAAAGTTAAGGAATAGTACAATCTGCTATATTAACCAAAATTCCTTTGAATCAGTGAAGTATAATTTTAGTCTAGTTTAATTAATAATTAGCCTAGCTTAGCGTCTGCTATACATTATCGGCCATGTATCATGAGATTGGAGATAAAAGACAAGCTGTCTAAATTTTGTCTTGCTTCTATCGCACTCGGAGACAGTTAAGCCTAATTGTGTTATCTTAGTTATTTATTATACTCACGTCTATTTCTTGCATATGCTAAAGGCTTATCTGAGCCCTGAATAAATAAATTCCCACATATCATTAAGGCTTATCGAGAGCCGGTGCTAGATATCTTACCGCCTGATGCTGTCTCTGTGGGTCCTAAATTCTGCTACCAAGCACCTCTCCAAGTTCTAAATTTTGACACCAAAGGATCTAAAAATTTTGTCATCCCTTACTTTTGTTGCTTGGTGCTTCTCTAAATTCCCAAAATCTTGTCTTCCCTAAATTCTGACTCCCGGTGTAGCCATAAGAGCTTTGGTGCCAGTTCTGGGTTTATGTGAATATTAAATCAGTTATTCTGAATTCAAATAGCATGGAATCTAATCTTTTGGCCTAAGAGTATCATTAACAAAATCTATTTTTAGCATATGGAAAGAATTTTTTAAAATTTTCTCGTCAGCATTTCTCAATGCATTTAACTTAAATTTGTAATCATTACAAAGCATAATGTCAACAGAAAAGGTTACCATATTCTTTGTTACTGAATTGCTAATACAACAACAGCAACAACATTTTTTTTTTTTTTTTTTTCCCCTGCATCGCTACATGAGACATTGCTCAAGTTGTCATGTGTTGATAAACATGCAATGGTGAAACCAAAAATATAATAAATGATGATCCATCAGGTTGATGTCAGAGATAAAAAATATTAGTTGGTGTCAAATCAACAATGTTTCTATGTAGAATATTTCGATTTAAGATGTATGCGAAGCAGATACGCAGCTACGGAGCAAATTATTGATCCCACAAATTTATGTTAAAATGATTGTTTCTTCAATAACGAAGTATGTTCTTTAATGCTGAAGTTAAATTAAGAACTGGGATTCTTTGCATGCTTTATTATGGGGAACGGGTCTGAAATTTAAATCATTCCGGATACTCAACTTTGTACTTTATACTACTCTGTGTATTTGAAGAAAGTCAAAATTACAGAGGTAATTTATCTATATGTATACAAAAGGCCATCATTACAGAGGTAATTATAATTTTTATCTTTCTGTATATATTCTTTATTTTTTACATAAAATTAATTTAAAAATTCAGTTGCCTTAAAAAATACCCCAGTGAAAAAAGTAAGCAATTTTTGGAAGGTTATTGAGCTAAGAATCAATTAAAATAATATATTTACAAAAGATAAATAAAATTTTAAATCCATTTAACATTTTGTTTCTATATAAATAAAATTTTAAAAAAATACTTACTTTTGTTTACAAATTCACTGCTGATGATGCTTATACTTTGCTTAAAACTTGAGCTATTCTTTGTTTCTGTTGTTGTTGGTGAATGATAACTACATGCAGTCCGGCTGTTTTCTTGTCCATATAAACTTGTGAAACTCGGAGACTGAACACATAAAGCCTCAAGCTTTTCAAGATCATCAGTTGGAGACTTGCACTTTATTCGTTGTTCATAACAATGCTTTAAAGATGCATCAGTATCTACAGCTTCTAATTGACTTTCATCAAAGTAATTTGTATTTTCAGATATTAATTTCATATCAGACAATGCATTTCTGGTTGTTGTAGGAACACAAACATCTGAAAATGCCTATAAATATATATATAATAAAACATAATATAATATATTGTAATGGTTAAGTTTAAAATAATTTCTTTGCCATTAAGAAGTATGAAATAATAGAATTTATAAAAATCAAGTTATTAAATTTTGCACTGGTATGAATTGTTTGAAATAAAGAAAAGCGCAGGGAATTTATCTGGCCAATAAGTTCCTTTCGAGTTTCAAATGAGAATGTCTAGGGGATAGAATATGAAGATCATGTGACCTATTCTACCACCACTTTAAAATGATAAACTTTAAATGCATTCATTTATCAAAGACACTGCCATTACAACTGCTCGTTTCTTCTTTGGAACTCAAGCTCAGAAGGCAGAAGATCCAAAGATATTGTATTTCTCTTCCTTTACCATCAAGCTCTCAAGAGAACCTAACAGATTTTAAGTCTCATATGTTGCAAAACCATTACAAGTACAAATGTCCACACTTAATTCAGGATTTGAACAGACCCAATGTCAGCCTCGCTAACAGAAGTAGCTTTTCATTATAAATTTGATTTTTTTAAAGCAAACTATTAAAAACATTAATAGTTTAACACAGCTAAATTTAAAATAATGTCTAAATAATTTTGCTGAGGGTTAAATTTTAGTTACCTAATTATTTACAAGCAAAGAGCAATTGTAATATTTTAAAGTAAAAGACAAAAATGGTTAATGTTAAAAGTTCTTTTCCTTGTTTTGCACTCTAATATAATGCTATTGAGTGTAATAAAATAATGCATAAATTTAAAAATATACTTTTTCACATATATATAAATTCTTAACTTGGGAGCAGAGCAGATAGATCATCAGGTTTAAATGAAACACGAGTCAAGAGTAAATAAAAAGTAATTTGCAAAAAAAAAAAAAAAAAAAAAAAAAAAAAAAAAAAAAAAAAAAAAAACTATTTGAAGAATCAACGTGAATTAAATTTGTTCTAAAATAAATAAAATGACAATAAGGAAAATGAAGTTAATTATTTTAAGAAGTCAAAAGATGTTACTTTACATTTCAGGTATGGAAATTTCAAATAATATTATTATTTAATGTCATCTGATTCGTACAGCATAGTAACAGGAAATGAAAATTTAAGTGACCTGAAAGATGAACTCAAAAAATTAGAATGGAGTAAGAAAGATGTCAAAGCTGAAATATATACAACTTCTGTAGATAAAGGTCTATTGATGCATGTATTAAACTACACAAATTCGAAAGGTGTTTGCTAAAATGGTTGCAGGCACTTAGTTGACAACATGTACACAGCTCCAAAAAACAAGGGGGGACAGTTCTATATCTTCCGTTCTACTGGGCCAATTGATGAAATTCAACTTGTGTTTTTCATGTCTCGAAAGCACGACTTGGGAAATATATTAGATTCATATATAACATTGTTCTAATACAGGTATTTTGACACAAAATCGGACTTTTTCTGAAACGATAGGACAATTTTTTTTCACATTTTACATTTTCACATTTCACTACAGCTCAAATTATGCCAAACTGCCAAGTTTTGCAAAAAAATTGTACAAGTTAGTTTTTAAAAAATTAGCTCCTCAATGTTAATTGAATTTGGTATATATATTTATATATATATATATCTCTATATATTTATATATAACTTGTTTTATCCTTCCTTTCACATTCAGGTTCATTGCAAATCAAATTAGCCCCTCTTTTATAATTTACTTTTAAAATTTGTATTTTAAAATAATTTTTAGAAAAATATGTTGAATTATATAAAATTTTTACCATCATCTTAAATTAGATGTTCTAAGCACACCTGCAAAAAAATTAGATTTTTTTATTCAAAATTTCTGAAGATATACATGAATTTACATATTGGCCTGTTTTGAAAATTGGCATATTTGTTGAAAGCGATAATAACATCATATGTGGTTTAGGCACTTTGTCAAAATTATTTGAAAGTAGGCACGATATGAATTTTTTTCTGCTCATGTACGATGTAAAAAGGGAAAGGAAAATAGGTTGCCATGTATTAAGAAGTTCTTCAATAAATTATTCTTGCCACAAAATACAAAAAAGGCACCAAGATAAATTTTTGAATTTCTCTAGAAATTTTGCACCAAATTTTACAAAATGAAATATTTAGGCATAATTTGAGTCACAGAATTGAATGGTACTGAAGTTAATTTTTTTTAAATAACAAAGTAGAAATAAAATAAAAAGATGGTTCTAGAATTGAAAATGGTTAGTAAGATATAGTTCCTAAGAATGCAAGTGCTTCCAAGAAATGAAAGAATAGCAACTGAAGATATATTATGGCATAGGACATCTTGGTTATAGAAATATAAAGAAATCATTTTTGCTGTCTAACAGTATAAAAACTTTTATGATTGTATAATGGATGACTGAAATATGAAAACCAGACAAACAAGATATCTTTCAATTTTAAAAGAAGAACTAAGAGACCTTCAAAAAATTATTCTTAATGATGTGTGTGGACCAGATAATCCAATAACATGGAAAAAAAAAAGAAAAATATATCTTTTTTTTTTATTACTACACAAATTTTTAATGTTACCTTTGATAGAAGATAAATATGAAATGTTTATTGCAATAAAAGATTATGTAAAAGAAGTAGAAGCTAAACAGAATATGACAGTATCAAAATTAAGATGTGAAAATGTAGAAGAATTTACTGTGGATGGCTTATTTAATTGAGACAAAACACACGAAAGCTATCTGCCTAATAAAAGAGATGCCTTCACAGAGGATTTTCTAAGGTAAACTGGCTCGTATCCTGTTACCTATAGAAACCATATAAGCATCCATTCAGTCAGCCCATTCACCAGGATTTGAACTACTATTGATCAGCAACTTTAACATTCAGCTGCTAATCGGCAGAGAGTTTACTAGTGAAAATTTAAAAGGATGGCGGAAAAACAAAGGAATTATTTCAGGTTATTCTGTCCTTCTTTCATTAGTTAAATAGAAAAATAAAAATAATAAACCGAATATTAATACAAAAATAAAAGCCCTCTTTGCAGTTCTAAACTGGAAAATGAGATGTGGGGAGAAGCTCATCGAACTGCAGTGTATTTCTTTAACCACAGTCCAATAAAAAAAGAACATTACTAGTAAGGCAATGGAATAACAAAGGCCTAATTTATCAAGATTGAAAATTTTTGAAAGAATTGCATATGTTCAACAAACCAATTAAAAAGCATGATTCAAGAAATAAAATGCATATCTTTGTTGGATATAGAGCAAACGGCTATAGATTACTGGATAGAAGTGCAAGAATAATAAAAATATCCAAAAATGTTGAGTTTGAAGAAAATTTATATTCAGTAAATGAAAACAAAAATAAAGATGCAAATATAATGCTGTGTGAAGATATCCAAAATTTAGAAAATAAGATAAAAGCAATTTCAATTTCAAAAATTATCATTTAGAAGCTAATGATAATGAAGATGGAAATGGAACTCATGAAACTTAGAATGTGGGTGATTGTTTAAAAACAAAAAATTATCAGCAAATAATAGATATTTTGTAATACTGTCATACCAGGAATCAATATCATGAGAAAATTAAGAAAAATATGGTTAGAAACTATAGTAGAACTTCTAACTCTTGGTGAGATTAAGCAATTCTTTCTTCTCAAATATACATGAATCGGTCAATTGCAAATATGTAATGCAAACTGTGTTTGTTTGCACCCATTGCATTGTGTAACTGAAATACAAGCTTGTTGATAACCATCATAAGGTTGATTAGCAACAAAACTTGGAAAGTTCTGAATGAAAATGAAGCAGAAAATAAGAAAATTTTAAGTAGTAAATGGATTTTTAATGCAAAAGGAAATTGTTAGTTCAAAGCTAAACTTGGTGCAACTAAAAACAAATCTGAAATGATGCAAGTTGACATAAAAACCATTTTTTTGTGTGGAAATATAAAAGAAAATATTTATGTGAAAGTTCCAGAAGGCTTTATTGTGGAAATAAGTTATTCAAATTACAGAAGGCTCTTTATGGACAAGTTCTTTTCAGCTGGAATAATTGTTCCACAGAATTTTTAAAAAGATCTAATTCAAACCAAATATGAGAGATGTAAAAATTCCGGCTATTAATTTCCAGGACTCGTGGAATAACTCAGAAGAATAAAAAGGTTAAACACATGGCCATTTAATATGATTCAATCATAATCACCAGCCGTCTGTGCTCGGCTGTACAAATTTCGGAAAGAAGTTTTAAAGTCCTCTTTTGGAATGCTCTTTAATAGCGATGTTACAGTTTCCTTGATGGCTTCGACATCCTGAAATCTTGTTCCCTTCAGCGAATTTTTCAGCTTAGGAAACAGAAAATAGTTAAAGATGGTGGGTTAAAGTTAAAGATGGCGATATGGTTATATTAAAGTTAAAGATGGTGGGTGCTAGGTCTGGAGAGTATGGTGGATGCTGCATTTCAACGACACCATGCTGGGATAAGAATCGCATCACAGGCAACGCAATGTGTGTGCGGGCATTGTCATGTAGCAGCAGCCAACTCCCATTTTGTTGAAAAGAAGCCTCACTCTATGAATTCGTTTTCGAAATCGGTCAAGAACTTCTGTGTAGAACTGTCCATTGACAGTCATGTTAGGAGGAAGAAATTCATGATGATGAATCCATCGCAATCGAAGAAAGCGATCAACATAACCTTGATTTTGGACTTTTCAAATCGAAATTTTTCTGCCTTGGTGTAATTTGGAGACAGCCATTTGGAGTTTGGTTTCAGGGTCATATTGATAACACCAAGACTCGTCTCCCGTGACTATCCTATACAAGAACGCAGGGTCAGCATCAGCATTGCGAAAAGTTCACCACATGCATCCAGTCTCAATCACTTTTGTTCATCAGTTGCTTTTGTTCAGTCACATTTGCTTTTGTTGCAATGGTGAGGAACAAATCTGGAACAAATCTTGCGTTTGCCTAGGTCTTGCATCAAAATTCGCCGAACCGTCTCTTTGTCCACGTTGAATTCATCAGCGAGTACTCAAGTAGTCAATCGACAATCACATTTCACCATATCGCGAACTTTTTCAATTGCTTGCGGTGTGCGTATGGATCATCTTCGATGCTTTCGTGCCCATCCCGAAAGCGTTTAAACCATTCAAAAGTTCTTGAGCGGGATAATGCTTCCTCGCCGTAAACTTCTTTTAACATTTCGCAGGTTTCCGCAGCTGTCTTGCCAAATTTTAAGCAAAATTTAATGTTAATTCTTTGCTCTATTTTCACTTCGACACTAGGAATTTAAGAGTTATGTTTTAATGTGCCTTTCCACAAAAGCCACATACTTCAGAATGCCGCCGATTGCACTGCACATGCGCAAGAAAACGCTGTTCAATATGCAATCATTAGGGCCATCTTCCGACTTTTCGTTCTCCTACAGTTACATCAGTCCTGGGAATTAATAGCCGGACCTTGTATATTTAAAACAATGATTCTTCAATGTTCATGATAGTGCTCTGATTCGAAAATTGAGGAAATAGATAAAAAGATTTTTTGAAGAAATGTCAAATGAACTTGCGGTAAAAGTGTAAGAACATCCTAGTAATTTTTTATGCATGGAAATGGATAGAAATGACACTAAACAGAATATTTACTAGAAATCCTTGAACAATATGGACTAACTGAACATAAAGAAACAGACACTTCAATAGGACTAGAATCAATAATATCTAATGAAAAAGGAAAAGTTAATTCTCATTACAGAGAAGTTATTGGTAATGTTTTATATCTGTCTAACAAAACTTGTCCAAATTTAACGCTGTTAGAAGCAAATACGTACAAAATCTAAAGTACTCTAAATTTGGGTCTTCATTACTAATGTTCAACAACCTGTTCTACTTCAATACATTGTTCAATTGTTCTTAGTTTTATGTGATGCAGATTATGAAGGTGAGGAAAGAATATGCACAAGTATTACTAAATGTGATTCCATATGAAGGACCATGTGAGTTGGAGTATTAGAAAACAATAATGAACTGCTTTCTTGACAACAAAAGCTGAATACATAGCAGCAGTAAACTATGTTAAAGAACTTTTACCTTTTAAAAACTTTTTAAAGAAATAACCAATAAAACTATAAATAAATTAAATATTGGTAAGCAATGTGTAAATAAATTGATAAAAATTGGAATTTTCAATACAAATAAACATATTGAAGTAGAGCATCATTTTTCCCCCCCCCCAGAAAAGTTAAGGATATTAACTTTTCTTAACTTCTCATAACAATTTAGCTAATACAATTTTTAAATTATTGAGTAGTGAGAAATTCAATAAATTCAAGAATTATTCAGTATATTAAAAATTTTGTTAACCAAGAAAGAATAAATTCCGTTTTGAGGACTGTAAAAATCGCAGCGAAAATGTATGCGCAAAAGCGCCCATTTAACAGCGCGCCAAATCTAGCGTACGCACTGATTTCAAATTGCGTAAGTTTAGATAGTTCTATATTTTTTAAGATGCCATTGAAATATTAGTTTAATTTTTAAATCCTTTTTTTGATATCCTATGGATTTAAAAATTTGAGAATTGCCCATGACAAAAAGTCTGCAATAGAATTTTTTCAATGAAAAGGCATCATTCATTATAGAAAATTATGTTTCAACAACAAAAGAGATGAAATTATGTTTTAGCGATAACTCGATAGTGAAAGAGCGAAGCAGGAATCCTTTCAGTTAAGTTTAGCCTTTTTTATATAAATTATAACAATGATCTGAAATAGTTATTTACCCTTATGCTTCCATTCAGTTATGTTTAGGCTTTTTTATATAAATTATAATAATAAAAAGGTATTACAGTACAAAGTCTTTAATCCGGAATGATCTATAATCTGGACCTCAAAGCTACAAACGTTCTGTGCATGCACCAACGCATAATGCGTTCACGCATGTGCATAATACGTTTACGCATGCGCATTTAATGTATAACGGACGGTATAAGCTAGGCTAAAATTACCTAATTATCTATTTCAGTTAATGTTGCAGATTGCGTTGTTCCTTAATCTTCTAATTGGATCTGGCTTATTATTTTTTGCAGACTGTTAGAGCAATTTTATAAAAAGTAAGCTTGAACTTTCTATTATGTCAAAAAGAGTTTCCGATTCTGGAGCTGCCAAAGGATCTACAAAGCGAAAGCATGTTTCGATGTCGCTTCCGATGTGAAGAAAGTGCAGAGAGGTTATTAAAACGAAAAAAAATTCGATGACAGCGAGTTGGTATTCTCCAACAGCAATTGCAGAACTTGAAAGTTGAACAAGAAATTATGTCTGTTTATAGAATTAAAGAGAAATTAGAACAAAAACGAAACAACTTAAACAACTTAATTGAAGAAATGTTTAATAAAGTAAACAAATAAATATTAGCTATTTTTGTAAATTTTGATACCTTTAGATATAATTAAACTTTATTTCATAATTACGGTTCATATTTTAATTTTATTTAATTTCTGCATGCCATCTTATCAGATTTAAATTGTGATATATTCGGAAAAACCCTAATCTAATTATCCCAACGAGTCGGATTAAAGACTTTGTACTGTATATGAAATTACCTCCATATAATAAAACAATAATCTTCAGATAGTATTTTCTATTATACTTCCTTTCTTGTGTTAGGGTTTCCGCACTTATTTTTGGCAGCACTGGCATCAACAATAGTTTGGCGATTTTTTATGGTCCTCAAAACGGAATAGTACCGAATAAACTGTTAAAACAAGCGTAAGAATATAAATCTGATATAACTTCTTAAATATAATACAGAAAAGAAAAACTGAGAGAAAGAGCTGAGAAGTAATATTTATTTATACAATTATTTGTACACGAGAAGCCAATCACTTAAAATACAAAATTAGTATTTTTATTAAAAAATGGTTAATGTTCTAGTTCTTTCTCTGCTACATAAGAAGTGTCTTGTTTTTGTATTCTGAAATACAATGTTCTGTGTAAAATGATATATATAAAATAAAAATGCCCTTTTTCACTATATATAAATTTGTAGCTCAGCAGAAGATTCATCTGATTTAAACAACAGATGAGTTAGAGTTAAGTGGTTTATAATAAAGTTAATTGCAAAGAATCAATGTGCAGGGCAAAAGCCTTTAAAAGGGGGTGACAGCCAAAAGTTTCCTAATACTTTTTGACTTACTTTTTTATTTGGGAGGGGGAGTACTTCTGTGCATTCATTAAGTTTATTTAGCTTTCTGTCATTGCAACAATGAAATATCAGAAGGATTTCCCGAGGTTAATTTCATAGTTTTAGTGGCAGTTAGACTGACTCCATCCACTTCTTGCTGCAATCTAAGTTAAGCAGGCAGAAGGGGAACCTGGTTTGCTGTCGAGTTCATTCACCATCTCAAGGGGGGGGGGAAATTGGTGGAAAGTGCATATTCAGATTCTAGCATGTGCTTATTTCATCCTGCATTATTGTGGCCTGTCATACTGTATTGGTTCTTCCTTATCTTGTCTGAACTTGATATTTGAAAAATGATTTCTGCTCGCTCATTCTTTTACTTTGCCGACTTTATATTTGTTGACAGAACAAAATGAATGTCAGAAAAAGAACATAATACATTCAACATGGTTTCTCTTTCATTACCGTGAATAGGGAAGAAAGATTTCAAAATGTTATTTGTAACAAAGTTTTGTTGAATGATTCTTTGAAACCAACCAAGCTAAAGCATTATTTGCAAAATGTTCATCCTGAATGCATGAACAAGGACAAAAGCTTTTTTTTTTTTTTTTAATTTTATTTTTTTATAGCAATATAGAAATGATCTTAACAAAAAAGAAATTAGATTCAACAGGAGGCATTCCAAGAAAAAAGCCACAAGTTTACCAAAGCTTTTTATTGGAGATACTAAAGCAGAAAAAACTGAATATAATCCTAACAATACACTTATGCTGTATTCTTACTTAAAATTTTTTCGAAATATACCTCTTCCTCAATTTTCATTTATTAATAAAATTTATTTCAGTTCTTACTTTAAAATCCAGTTTAAAGCACATTAATTGTTTGATGAAATAAAGAACATAAGTAAGACAGGTAACCCTCACGTATAACACACTTTCTGAAGGAAACAGATTCCTATTGATGCTACTAAAAGGAAAACAATCTATGCATCCAGCTTGTTCTCCAGAATCTGAACCTAGATCAAATTAGCAGTGTTCAGTGGTCTTATTCTCTTAGTGACTGGGAGGCCAAGATTAAAATTCAGATATATTTTATAGATACATTCTAAACTTAAAATTGTTACAAAAATATTTCATTCAAAATCTTGGAAAGTTCATAGGTAAATGACAATACATTTTTCACTTACCTTAACTTAATTATATTAAAAATTCTCAAGTTTTAGAATCAGAACAACTTAAAATCTCTTTGGAGTACGTTCATGTCAGTAACATATTTTCAGGTTTTTGTTTTTTTTTTTTAAGCAAACAAATACTAAATAAAACAAAATCACCAGAAAAATAGTTTTTGATATTGGGCCATAATTGACCGGGGATGAGATGAAAATCTATGACATGCAAAACATTTTAATTTTTCCTTTATCTTAAAAATTTAAACAATTATGTCCTTATATTAAATCGTTGTAA